CACACACACACACACACACACACACACACACACACACACACACACACGGCTGACATATTTCTCTGGAGCCGAGGAACCAGCAATGTCACACAAAGAACAATAGAAGAGAACGGACAAAAAAAAAAACAAGGCAGCTCAGTAGAAGACAGGAACCAAACCCTTTCGGCACACCCAAACCACACGCATGTGCCTCTAAAGGAAAACAGATAGCAAGTACACTAGACGGGGTTTAACGGTGACCCACATGAGTGACACCCACTATTTAGCATGATTCACATTAGTTTAATACAAAGAGACAAAGGCCTTTGAGGCGTATCTACGCAGGTAACCTTCCACCACAGTCCATTCACAGCTCTGAATCGCTGACCCAAAACGGTCCTCTAGAGCTCGGGCAGGGAGGATATACATTCATATTCACACGAAAACCAGCAACTCTCACAGGATCACCAGATCATCATGTGACCGTTCCCGTGTATTTGTCATAAAGCGGGGAGCAGAGGTGACCACAGTTACGCCAACAGTCCTCTTTTGTCTCTTGGGTGCGCTTGAGAGAGAAACCGCCAGTTTGTGTGTGCATACAGAGCCGAAACAATGAGGGCCCGCTGGACTGTAAACAGGCCAAAGCCGGGACCACAATGACCAGCTGCACGGCCATGTGTGCGTTTTCAATATACGACCCAGTCGGAGTCGAGTCAACATGTATTTCACCCAACTTGCTGCTGAAAGCAATATTGTGTCATTGACGAACGGCAGAGATGGTAAACGATGCAATCATTCGTGTTAATGTTTAACTGTGTTCTAGAAACGTCAGCGCTGTTGCTGCTCATGATTACAGAGTTGAGAGAGAAGTGACTGTGCTTGGATGCTGGATTTTAACAACAAAGAAAAGGCACTTACAAAGAAGTTCTTATCGGACCGTGTCAGCCGATAAACACGTAAACTCATTTCATCTTATTTAACCTTTATTTACACATAAAAACACAGATAATGGACTAAACCAAACAGCATTTCAAAGTGTCTCTGTAGCTCACGTCAAGATGAGTGTCCAAACACTTTCAAAGCGCTTTCACCAGAAAACGCTACGGGTTCTCAAACAAACTGCAATGGTGTGTGGGACAAATCATAACGTTACGCAACATTATATATGAACTGCTGGGTTATTATCAGTGTCAAACTGTAGGCTGTGTGCAACAAAACTATTTGATTAACTCAACTAGGACATGACAATGTATGCTGCTCACAAGATATCCTGAGATGGAACCATGTCATGTGAAAGGGAAATGCTGGTATTTCACAACCCGGGTCGTATTCTCTATTAGAAGTATTGATAATCAAAACATATTATATGGGCTCGCTATCAAGAACAACTCTGTTAATAACCTCAATCAGGACACGGACCTCAGGCTTCTAGCAACTTAAAAAAGAAAAAACTTAATTCCACAGAAATCATCTCAAACACAGAAAGTAGTCCCATGGAAATCCCCGTAGCTGCTTTTTATCTCTGAAGCTTTAGGAGGGTGGTGATACCTGTGAGTCATACAAAGTCTCTACTTCATCACGACTAATAGATGAGACATAATGGACAAAAATGTAAGAATTACAACCCGAGTTCAAATCAGCGACACCAATATTACCAGCAAGTCCAAAACGGAAACATAGCGATGACACATGTTCCAAAATATGTTTGTACTCGGAGAAGAATCCAGAGGATGATCGTCAGACAGGTGTGCCGGCTGATGATGGACGCTGACGGATCATTTGCATGAAACAGAAACCGCAGAGGATGTTCTGAAACGTTTGCAATGCGGGTACAACCCACCAGGCTGGCCACAGTCAGCTGCACTGGAACTGCCATGACCATGTGCTGCAAGAGTGACGACGGCGTGCTATAAACGTAGTGGAGGCTAAATCTTTGGTTGTATTTTATGTGTGACTTTAAAGCGTCGAGCGGTTTCGTTTTTTAAGAAGCGAGTGATGCGACTTCAGTGCGGCGGGTGAGCCACGCAAGGAACATTCCTGTTGAACTGGTTATTTTCTGCCACAACGGTCACGCTACACCGACAGTAACCACAACAGGCACAGATCATGCGACAGGTGCATACGGGGTTGTTGCACAAAAGAAGAAGGAGAAAGCGGGCTCTTTTCCTGGGAACGGATGTGATATATTGTTGTTTAATGGGATGGTAAAGGGCATGTGGTCCACTGTGCTGGAATCAGCTCAACTTCAGCCGAAGTAACAGGGCTGCAGCCTTGTGCCGAGTATTGAATGTTGATAAGACGTTCAGGGGGTTTAGCTCACAACCTTTGACACGGTTTGAGCTCTCTTAACTATTCAAAATAAGACGAGTTGAAAGACATCTACTCGTCCACAGATGGAAGAGAACATGGCTTTCTAGAGAACAATAATAAATCAGTCCATCAAGGGGAAGGACACATCTGTGGGGTCAGAAGAAGATTAACAGGATAGGGCAGCCAAACAGCAAAAACATACTACAGCTACCAAAATATATTGGGTTTTTTTAGGTTAACTCCCAAAAATGTTTTTAAATGAAACAAAGAAAAACAAATGACTCTACAAACTTGAAACAAAGAGTTCCCAGCAGACATTGCTTTGTTTTCAGGGACCACGAGCTACTAACAGGTTGGAACCCACAGAGCTAAATTACAGACTTGTGACTCTCCGTTTCACGGCGAATGATCTGGTTAATTTTTTTCCTCCTGATCGAAATTCAAAGTCAAACAAATTCTGCGAAACGCCCGAAGATATTTGCATAACATTGTGTTCTGCTTCCACGTGAAGTCTGTTCAAAGATTAACCTAAGAACCCTCGGCATGCTTTCTCCTCCGAGTTCAAAAGAGCCTGCTGCTTTCTTTGCAGGCGGGGTGAATCCTGTAATTGTCTGAGACAAAACATCTCTGCTCTGGGAGTTCCAACATAAGACTCAACGCTTTCCAGTATCAACAGCTGAAAAAAAAAAAAATGACACATCCGTCACCTCTGAAGGGATTAATAACTCACAGAAACTGGGAGGCTTCCACAGCCTCAGAGCTCTGGAGTGCATTACTGAAACACGTCCAATAATGTAATAATATTTCAATAAGTGAGGCTTTTTTTCCACATATTACAGCTGCCATTTTGAAGCTGACTCAAAGCTGATCCATTTATAGCGACAACTAAAACACAACATTTCCCCCCCCCGACTGTAGGAGCTGTTGTGCGGGCCGTGTAATTGCAACGAAGCCATGCAGAAGAGCAAAATGTCACGGCATGCTCCCAACGTTCCCCGTCGGCCTCGTATGGAGCAGAGGGATGAAGTTGGGTGGATTACAGCGACCGCTAACAATTTACACAGGCATTTCCTGAGGCAACAAGAACATGCAACATACTGCAAGTTATCACACATCTGACTCCAGTTAACCAGTTTCTTCTCTCAAGTTTACAGTCCATACATTAAACCTCTACTTATTATGGAATCCGGACGCACACAAATAAAATACTGACTTGGTGTTGTTTCCCAAGGAAATGAGTTGGCCTCCACTTTAACAAACTGCCTGAAGTTTTCTCGAGAGTGCAAATGAGTCTGACTGCCTCCTCCCAACCCCCACTCATACCGTCCAGTATTATAAAAAACTAACTGCAATGACCTCAGCGCAGTCACAGTCGGGCAGGTAGCCAGCTTCCTCACTACGCAGCAGCAGTATCCTCCAGAGCTAACTGAAATAGCCTCCATTGCAAAAAAAAAGGCAGTCAGTCAGAGATGACACACACACACACACACACACACACACACACACACACACACACACAATACGTCTTGATGGAGAGATACATATCTGCCTGGCAGCTCTGGAGAAGTCGTACAACAAGGAGCTGAAAGGCCTGGAGTGTGCGGGATAATGCTCCACTTCAGTCACAGAAAAGCACGAGGAGAAGTGCCGATCGGGCAGAGTCTGATCTTGGCCTAAACTTCTCCAGACCGTAGAGCTGTTCTTAGGCTGTGGTTGTGTGTGCTTGAGTGTAACAGAGAGGGTCAGAGGGCAACAGTCGTACAATGAATGCACCAAAGCCAGGCCCGTTAGTCAATATGTCCTCCTGCTTTTGTCCAGACCAGCGGTTTAACGACACCGAAGGCTTGATTACCGACTGTGAGCAAGGAATAATTAAACAGAGTTATAAAACGGGCCCGCAGACTTTATGGTCGGCGTAGTTAAAGGCAAGCAGGCACACTATACGGCCCGGGCCTGATGAATGAGGATGGGCAGGTATACGGCCGCGGTGTTTTTTTTTTTTTTAGAGCGAATTAGCCAGTTCATCAGGCATGACGACCACGAGGGCCAAGAGCCAGGTCTGTAAACACAAACAGGAGTGACTCACTAATGACGCGGGAAAGTGGACAAATTGGGGAGTGAGGGATATGGTGAAAGTAGCCCGGGCAGGTTGTTGAGCTCTTGGTAAATTCCCAGAGAGTAGCCGAGTATTAAATGTTACGCAACTGTCAGCGAGGAGAACTGGTGCTTTCTGAGCCCATCTGCCCGCTCTGATGAGAAACAGTTACGTGGGACCCTGATTTCAGACTCCCACTTATCCAGCATCTGTACACTGAATAAGTAAATTATTAGAGATTGTATTCGAATTGTAATTTGTGTCCAAAGGTCTGCGGATCATTGGGGACTCCAAATGGGGATGCCAAATGTGCATTCTTTCGCTGTCATTTAACAGTTAATGATGACTTACTGTGGCGTTGGCCTTGCCTCCAAAACAGATTTATGTAATTTCATAAGCAATTATACAAAGTAGGACTTCTTGGAAAAAATGTGCCTTTGGGCCTTTCATATTTGGGATCCCACGATATAAAAAGAAGACAGGAGCCTTGCACAACTTCATGGCTGCGATCCAAAAGTAGAATAAATAGAAAAGGTTTCTCAGTGACAGAATTAAAAAGAAGTGCACTCACACAGTATTTGGGACTTAAA